GCCAGGTGTGTTTATATATTTTTTAATATTTAATTAATATTAGGGTAAGGGTTGGCGAAGGGTTAAGGTTAGAGCAAGGCTTATAGATAAAATTGGCTTCCTGACATTTTTTATTAGTACCACGAGGTAGGTTTAGACACTCATTTTCTTTATTTTTTGTGTTTTTTACTTTTTTTCTTTGTTTTTATCTCGTCAGGCTGATCCAGGTAAATCAAAATTTATTATTTGATTGGCTGTTAGTCACGTGATCACATCTGGCTTTAGATGACCCCTAAATTTGGTACTTTTTAGTAAATAAATTTCTAAATTTGGTGCTTTTTAGTAAAAAGTTGATATCTTATATTGTCTTCACTTAAATTTGACGCTTTTTAATAATAAAATAAAATTAGATATCTTAAACTGTCTGGTACTGTATAACTTTAGAATAAATATATCTCTATATTATTGCTCTAGTTTATAACTCTTTATTAAATCTATCTTGAATTCTAGAATATCTAATTTTAAAGTCTCGATTATATGATCGTTGATTCTAAAATCTCTTTCATTTTAAGCTATCTCTAATTACAAATGGTTTTGCTTCTTATAGTTCTTCACTTTGAATATACTTCTTTATATTCTAGGTTAACAGGATTGGTTCTTTCGATCACTATTTTCAGAAGCTACTTCTTTGGTATATTTTGAATAGAAGACTACCTAATAGCCATACCTGATTCAAATATAGTATGCACTATTTATTTCTCTTCAATCTAAAATCTATTAGAACTTTTTCCTTACATATGAGTTGTTTTGATCTCTAATTGTCATATCAAAACTTGTAACTTTCTGAAAATAGAAGTAATAAATAATGCTAATCTTTTAAAAAAGACAAGCCAAATTACTACTTTTTGTCAAAAATTATGAAAAAAAAAACTAGCAAAAGGGTAATTATAGTTTTGTGAGTTTCTAATCAGAGAGTATTCTTTCAAAAGTTCTTTATAGCTTTTTATCTCCAAACAAACTTGAGTTTACCTTTTTACTTACCATTTCTAAAGACTTTTTTGGTTTGAATACCAAATACAAAAAGAAGTTTATCTCAAAAAGAAAGAGAACAAGGCTTGACCTCTTTGCAAACTATTCAAACTACTCATTTCTTGATATATCATGTTTGAAGATTTTGTCAACAACAGTTTGTATCAAAAAAACTTTAAGTTGCTGTTAATTTCTGATCTTGAAACTTTTACTTGTTTTTAGTAAAAAATTGATACAAATGATTATTAATATAAGTTAAATAATATCAAAATTAATAATTTTTTGTTATTAAAATAATTTAATATTTAAAATTTTAATTAACTATAATTATCTTTAGAGGTTTGACTAAAGTGTGGCGATTTAGTGAAATAGTTAAATTGTTGTATCTCCAAGTGGAGAGTTGGAAAGGTAGAGGGTTCGAAACCTACTAGCGATGAATTTTGAAAATTCTACTTGTACGATGCTACTATCTTCTGTCAATCAGTTGAAACGGGATCTCTGTAATCTTGGTAGCACTAACAAGATTGGAAGATCATGGAGTATTTGTACAATGTATAAGTTACATGAAAAGTTCTGGATTGTAGTAAAACCAAGGAACCGAGAAGATCAGATACATGCTTAGCAAGACCCGAGTAAAGAGGTAGCACAGATCTTCGATGGTACTACTGAAAGATTGTCATTGGGAGAACTGGCAAAACTGAACAGGACCGAAGTATTTGGCAAGGCACTCCACCAACCAGACCGCTAGAGGAGTAACCGAAGGAAAAGGACCCAACCGTGAGAACCAGAAGCAGGTCATAGCCCTTCCGGACCATCTGGATTGGTAGTTTAAAATTGTTGGGATTAAAACTAGTGATAGTCTGTAAAGTATGTACTGAGGTCTGGGTGAACTCTGCAAGGGCAGAAGTAGATAACGGTAGTGGCTTCGGCTTGCAAGTTGCTGTCTTCGGACTTGACGTAAGTTACTGAAGTCTAGATTAGCCAGATTGTGGATATAAAAAGCTCTAATAAGTTTATCTTGAGGGTAAATTAGCTCTAGATCAGGTGCTTCCTATAGTAGGTATTAGTTTCTTATAAAGATATGGCAACGCAGAGGGTTTAAATAAGTAATCCTCTAGTTGGATTATAGATATGATATCTAGTGTAAAATCTTCAGGCGAACTACTTAAATAGGCAATCAAAAATTGTACGTGTGGCTAGTTGTATTCTCTAAAACTATGTACCAAATGAGTAGCAGCTGACTTCGATCAGCTTAGTACATAAACTAATAAAAGCAACTGACCATAAGGTTACTTTGACATTAAAAAAAAAAATCTTTAGAGGTTTGATCTGATGAATAGTATATTCAAATATTTATTAAATATTCGAATATTTCAAATAATAATTTTTTCATTAAATTGAATATTTGAATATTTAATTTTTTCATTAAATATTTAATGAATATTCAATAAATATATTATAAATAAAAATTCTTTAATTAACTAATTAGAATAAGAAATTAGATTTAATAATTTTAGTATATTTAATTTATTTGTACTAAATATAAATTATTAATAATTTATTTATTTATAAATATATATTTATTATTATAAGGAATAATTTATTCATCACCCAAATGAGTTACTCACCTCCCTTAAGTACAAAAGAGAACCCAGTCATGTTAATATATTAGGATTAAAATTAAAGTTAAGGTTAGGGTTAATTTAAGGTAAAATTGTGAGAAAAACATTTTTGCTTATGTTATATGACAGGATTATCTTAATAAAATTTTGAGATATTGGTATTTTTTCAAATTTTGTTATAGAGAGGTAAACAATATCAAATCTCACCCTGGGTAAGGAATAAATTTACTCTTATTATAATATATTTGTTTAACTTTATATTAAATTATTAATTATAAGATTAAACTTATTTATTAAAATTCTTATAAATAAAATATAAACTTATAATATTTTTTAAAATATTTATTTTTAATAATTAATATTTAATTTTATATATTAGTTAACTATTTAATTATAATATTAATAAAATATAAAATGATTTTATATTATAATTAGGATTAGCAAATGAACCAATTTGACCAATTTGACCAATTTTTTAGCTATTATTAAAAATTGTTAAATTATTATTAAATTTTATTTTTAATTAAATTATATTTTATAGTTTTTATAATAATTTAATAAATTTAAATTTAAATAATATTAGTCTTTAATTAAAAAAATTTTAATAATATCAAAAATTGGTCCATTTGCCAACCCTGATTATAATATAATATTCATTGAATATTCAGTAAATGTTAGAATATTTATTTAAAATTTTTAATGAATATTCGAATATTAAAAAGATTGAACAAATGAATATTCGAATACAACTTTTTTGACCAGATCAGACCTCTAGTTCAAGAAACCATACTATATAATATGGTTACGTCACCTAAAATTATCAGAAAAGTTTGAAGGGTTGTATATGAATTTCCCGATGGTCATTTCCCGACAGACCATTGAAAATTCTCTAACTGAAACTAATAAATCATGCTGCGTGATGTACTATCGGGGAAATGACCGTCGGGAAGTTGTGCGACATGATTTTAGATTTCTGATTTTCTGGTGGCATAAATTCTTTGGGTACATCAGATAAATTCATCGGCGTCAAAAATTGATGTACATGATGTTACACGAAACTGATGACGAAAATCTTTTGATGACTGGTAGGGAATAATCCCAACCAATAAAAACTTGAGAAAAATTAGTAAACTCGCGAGCTTTCCCACCCCTAAGATATCAGCTGATATCTGACACGTCCCTTACATGCAACAAAATGACAAAGTCCACAGTACGATTTGAAGGGTTCGCTCATTTATGCTTCTTTCCAAGCCCCAGTTCAATTAATTGCGAGAATAATAATAAGGCTCCAAGTAATTCTACTTCTAATGTAGCTGCGGAAAATACTCAAACCCTAGAGAATAACTCTACAGAAAATAGCTCACATCGAGCTAAATGTTCTCAAAATCTATCGTCGAACCTTCATGAAAAGACACCTATATCACCATTATACTTCAAAGGACATATGATCTTTGAAAAAATGTCAGTGCATTTTGCTTTAAGAGGTATTCCCTCGGCTACTGCGCCACCAGATACATATGATCATGGATGTCTACATGACAAACCAATATATTATGATGTTTCTGTTCAGGATCACGATGCAAAGCAGGAATGGGAATTTAAATGGGTCAGATGGTGGGGAGGTGATGCTGGTTGGATGAGTTCAGACCCGAGGTGTCGTGTTACCGGTGAAAGAACTGTGTCTGAGCAGGAATCTGCCGCTGAAGAGCAATTCATCTGGTTTGGCACAAATTTGATAAAAGGCAATGAAGAAGCTCAAAAGCACGCGAAAAAATATTTGAATATGAAAGTTGATGAAGAGGAAATTGATGTTTCTCATGTTTGTATAGGTGAGATGAGACTCATTGTTGAATCTGACAAGGTTGAAGATAACTTTGAATTGTTTGATGATGAGAATGGATCTGTGTGTAATTATGAAGCTCTGGGCGATTTGAATGAGACGGATGACGAAGAAAGCGAAGACTAGAAAAAACAAATAGGCTGATTATCGGAAAATAAATTTTTATAAAACCTATATAAGTCAATAATTTTTATATAATTTTTAACATAAAATTTATATAAAAATTTATATAAAAATTTATATATTTTTATATAACTTTATAAAAAAATTCATTATAACTTTTATGCGCTTATATAGTTTTTATATATACAATATATACAATAATTAATAAATTATATACTGGATGTTTGAAAATTTCTGGGCAGGATCTTTTTGTTAATTACTTTTATTATTAGTAAAATAGGTCGGATCAAACGAGTGCTGCAAAGGGAAAACCTGCAATTGTGAATTTTCCGAAATCAATTTTATAGAAACGACTTATCAGACACATGATCCATTAAATAGAATTTATTATAATTCATCAGGAATCTGATCACTGTTTCTGAAAAGCGGAGCCGGCAAAAACCGAAATTGCAGGTTTTCACTTTGCAGCACTCAAATATAGTACGTACGTATAGGGGACTCTATTAATAAAATTGATTATCAATTAATGGATTTATACGTCTAAGCTGCTGTTTACAAGATTTTTTACAATAATAAGTCTATTATATATATCTAAATACGTATAAATTGCAAAAGACTCAGAAGATCCTAAGGGACCGAGTCCCAAATGTTAGGTTAGATGTTTTGTTGATTGGCGCAACTTTGCATGCATAATTTATTATTGCAGCCATGTTATTTAAAAATTGTTAGTGGCATTTTATGTCATCACTGTTTTATCCTCTTTTTTTTTTTGTGATTCGCCTGAAAACCAGGGACCAATCATAGTAAATTTTGAAAAATGTTACTATACACTGTACATATAATTTTGTTTTTCTAAAGAACAATATATTCGTACTAAGTTAACCTTTTCGAACTTCCAAGTAAAGTTGTAGAGGAAGTTATTCCCGATTATATTGATTATATTGATAATAGGGTAAAAAATGCTAAATATGGGGGGTGGCTAAAGCGGAGCGAGTTTTTGATGATCGACGGATGATTGACCAATCAAATTGTGAACTTTTGAGGGAAACAATTTTACCTATAACTTTTCTTAAATATAACATCAAAATGGTCTAACCCTAACCCTAATGTTAAATAAACGTTAAATTAGATAAAATTCAAAACTCGCTCCGCTTTAGCCGACCCCTAAAAATGGATAGTGAATCACGAGATACAAATATTTTAGTCTTTGCGAATGCATGTTTATTCTTTTATAATAATAAAGTCGCGAAAATCATTGTATGCTGTGAGATATACTAGATTGTTTTTAGCATTTTTGCTACTATTATAATCAAAATAATTTTTACAATGTTAAGTTTTTCAAAGCTGATTCTTGTATAGACATGGTATAAACCAATTTCGCCAACAACCATTTTGCAGACAGCCATTTCGCCGACAAATTTTGGCTCGATTTAGTTAGAGTTGGCCTGCTTTATAGTTAGTGTCGGCTAGAGATTGTTGGCAAAGTGGCTGTCAGTGAAATAGTAGTTAGCGAATTCTATCAGAACAACATAGACATAGCATATTCTAGTTACAATTTTTTTTTAATAGAGTTAGATAATAAATTTTTTAGAAAAGTCTTTATTCAGGTTTATTTTTTTTTTGTTTTTTTAAATTAGACAATATAAGTTTTTAGTATTATTTTTTGCTTTATATTAAAAAATTTTTGTAGTTATAAAGTTTTTTTTGTTTTTCTTATATTTGGTGGTCCTGCCTTCAATATTTTATTGAAAATACCAGAAAATTATTGTTAACAGGTATACAAAACTTTTTATACTATATTTCTATACTAAAAAGATATATTTAATCTTATAGCTAATATTTTTTAAAATATTTATTTTTTAATAATTGGTATTTAAATAATACTAATAAATTATATTTTTATATATATTTAAAAATTAAAATTGTTTTAAACTTTTAATTTTTATATATTAGTTAGATATTTAATTATAATATTAATAAAATATAAATAATTTTATATTATAATACTGTATAATATTTATTAAATATTCAGTGAATATTTGAATATTTATTTAAAATTTTCAATGAATTTAACTAAATTAGACCTCTACTTGAAATAACAAATATCTGTGTATTATTTAAATATACAGTATATATATTATTTTAAGTATATACATAAGCATTATTTTAAAATAAATATAAAATTATATATATATTTTATATAAAAAGTAAATAAATAAAAATACAGGGTTTGGGTTCTATAGCTTATTGGTTAAGCTCCCAAACCCCACAGACCAGGTTAATGGTTCGAGTCAAGCTAAAAGCAAATTTTAATAAAATTTGTTTCTGTAATCTACGGAAGTTATAATTAGATATCAATCTCTGTGGAAAGTTCAAATATAGTATGAAACCAGAATAAGAAGTTCTCAGAAGAAGACCAGGTTGTAAAGTGAAGGTATTATATATGATAGTAGCGTCACAGAAGGTCTAGACAGTAGAAGATTGTGCGTGTAAGTCCTATGGTTAGGGTAACTCGGAAGCAATACCAATATTTCATTACTTCTGTATTTAGCAATACCAACATCCTTATATCCAATTTATGGGGTACTTGCTTAGAAGGATAATCAATAGATTATGCATATAAGTCCTAATATGGAATGGCATTGGGTACTTGTTTGGAAGAGTAATACTCTACTATCAAAACTAGAGTAGTAAAAAAAACAGTGATATACAACTATGGACTATAGTAAAGAATCATATCTTAACTAGAATTGAAAGTATTTCTGGCATCGGTAGAATGATTATAGAAGGCTACCTGATATAAAGAATATAATCTACTCCTATATATCTAAAGATACCAATTTAGAGCTCTAGTTATACCTATATAGAAGTCTATGATGAAAAAGAGTTAGGATTTACTAATACTAATGTAATACTAACTAGAAATAGCTAGAAATAATTAGCTTGCTATTTAAGTAATTTCATAGTATTAGGCTAGTTTTTAACAAGATAGATTATTAAAGCAGAATTATAACAATAGCCAATGACTGGGAGTGTATAGCCTTGTAGTTGCTATACAACTCAAGAGATTCTCACAAACTATAGTTCTAATAAATACTATATAAGGGAATACTTAAAAGGTAGTAAGAAATATACTACATCAGATAACTTAGAAAATGCTAAAACCTGAAGATAGCAAACCAGATAGCGACAGCAGAGCCTGGTTTAAGATATGAGGCTAGTATATCTGGATATTAAGTAGAAGATTTGAGTAATATTAACACTAGTCAAAAGCTAGCAAATCAGGTACAAATCGGGTATGCTATATTTTAAACTGATATATACCTGATTTATATCAAATTTTAAATTTGGCTGCTTGATTAATACAAATTTATGGTGCAAATCGGCATATAATCATGACAAAATCAAACATCAACTAGATATTAATCGAATATTAATTGGTATATTGATATTGATCACTAAACTAAAAATATATATTACATACGTATATATATACATACATATTGCTATACATATACTCAAATTGTCTCAATTCAGAATCTGAGTTTTGAATATTTTATAATATTATTACAGAGCTTATTACTAATTTAGTTTTAATCGTAAACAAATAATGATCAAGGTCAACTTGTTTAAATCAATAAACTAATACATATAATTATAGGTTATAGAGATTCTTTTTATTAATATAAATCAATACTTCAGTTTATTACAATAATACTAAATATTATCAATCATCATTCTATTATTATTTTCTTCGCAGTCTAAAACCACACTCTTATATATTCATAAATTTAGCCTGGAGTCTTAGAAACCTTTAACTCCCTCCAAAAGCTATAAGCTTCACTATGCCACAACTACTAGTCGAACAATCAAGATTCGACCAGGTTGAAATTAAAAATTGGCCTATGAATTTATTACAATTTATAATTTTAAAGATTTAAAACTGATAGCTGATTTTAAAGTCAATAGAAATATTGAGTTAATGGTTATACAGGTTGATATCAATAAAATTTTTTAAATATTAAAATATAACAGTCTGAAAATTAGCCTAAA